TGAGAGTATAAGATTCACTTTATGTAAGTGAAACAATACACCTTTTTCTTCTTTTCTCGATGTGAGATTATAAAATAAAAATCAAATAAAATCTAGCCAATGGAGATTTTTTTAATTGTTTAAAAGTTAATAATTGTTTGGGCGAAAAGTTTATTTTGAATCAAGTAATCTTAGCCGTTTAATCTTTAATTAGGTCAATCTTTAATTTATTTCGAATTAAACAAATTTAACTAATATATTTTGATAAAATTGCTAAAATCACAGTTAAACCAGCGAATCAGTTAAACTGAAAACGGTTCACCTTATCAGTTAGGTCAAATGACTAACCAAGTTATACAAAAATTAATTAATTAAAACTTTTAAATTTTATTTTAATTTTAAAATTTAAACTGTCTTGAACTGAAACATACACAACACTATATAATATTAAATGAGAGCATAAGGTTTATATAGTGAAATAACTCATTTTTCCCTCCTTTTCTCGATATGAGATTGTAAAATAAAAATTAGCAGTTTTTTGGAGGGGAAGTTCATTTCTAATTAAGCAATCTCAGTCGTTCAATTTTTAATAAGGTCAATCTTAGTTTATTTTAAATCAAACAAATCTAAGTAATATATTTTGATAAAACAGCTAAAACCGTAGTTAAACCAGTGAATCAGTCAAACTGATTAGGCCAAGTCAAAAGACCAATCAATTTATAACAAAATTAATTAATTAAAACTTTTAAATTTTATTTTAAAATTTAAACCATCGTGAACTGAAACATGCACAATACTATAACATTAAATGAGAGTATAAGATTCACTTTATATAAGTGAAATAATTTACTTTTTCTTTTTTTTTTCTTAATGTGAGATTGTAATTATTTTAAAATTAAATATTATGAGAGTTTCAAAATCTGATACAAAATTATTTTTAAAATCAAAACGTTTATGTGAGATTGTAAAATAAAAGTTAAATGGAAGATAACCAATGGAGATTTTCTTAAAATTAAAAAATTAGTATTGATTATAGGGTTTCTCACTAAAAATCTTTCTTTACTTATATAAATGGGAGCATAACATTCACTTTATATAAGTGAAACAATTCACTTTTTTTTTCTTTTTCTGATGTGAAATTGTAAAATAAAAGTTAAATGGAAGCTAACCAATGGGGATTTTCTTAATTGTTTAAAATTAATAAAATTCAATAATTTATATAAATTGGAGTATAAGATTCACTTTATGTAAATAAAACAATTCACTTATTTCTTTTTCTTTTTTTTGATTTGGGATTGTAAAATAAAAGGTAAATGGAAGCTAGCCAATGGAAATTTTCTTAATTATTTAAAATTAAGAAAATTTAATAATTTTAGAATGAGAGTTTGGAGTTTCTAGAAGGCTTCCCCAAAACCCTCTTTATAAGATTCATTTTATATAAGTGAAACAACTCACTTTTTCTTTCTTTTCCTGATGTAGGATTGTAACACTTTATATAAGTAAAATAACTCACTTTTTTTTTTTTTATTTTCTCGATGTGTGATTGTAATTATTTTAAAGTTAAATATTATAAGGGTTTCAAAATCTCATACAAAATTATTTTTAAAATCAAAACGTCTATGTGTGATTGTAAAATAAAAGTTAAATAGAAGTTAGTCAATGAAGATTTTGTTAATTGTTTAAAATTCAGAAAATCAAAAAAATGAGTATGAGATATTGAGTATAGGGCTTCTCACTAAAAATCTCATTTTATTTATATACATGGGAACATAAGATTCACTTTATATAAGTGAAACAAATTTTTATTTTTATTTTTAATGTGAGATTGTAAAATAAAAGGTAAATAAAAGTTAACCAATGAGAATTTTCTTAATTGTTTAAAATTAAGAAAAATTCAATAATTTTAGAATAAGGGTTTGGAGCTCTTAGAAGCTTTCTCCCTAAAACTCCATTTTTCTTATATTATATAGATAGATAGTGAAACAAATTTTGCTTTTTCTTTCTCTCCCGATGTGGGATTATAAAATAAATCATAAATTAATTAGAGTTTTATTTTTATATGGTTAAATGGAAATTAGCTAATGGATTTTTTTTTAATTGTTTAAAATTAATAAAATCAGTACTCCCTCTGTCCCAAAATAATGGTCCCATTTGGGGAATCTAACTTTTTTTGGTTTTACAATTATTGCATTTGAAAAAAGTTGATTTTCCAAAATTACCCTTTTGATAGTACATTTTTTGGGAATATTAAGTCATAATTGTACTTTTTATATTGTTTATTAATTTAAAATAAGGGCAAAATAAGAAATTTATATTATTTTTGTACTTGATTTTTGAAGAGGGACTAATATTTTGGGACAATAAAAAATGGAATAAGGGAATAATATTTTGGGATGGAAGGAGTATGAGAAATCACAATTAAACCAGCAAATCGATCAAACCCAAAATGGTTCAACATAATCGGTTAGGTCAAATGACCAACAAATTTATACAACAATTAATTAATTAAAACTTTAAATGTTATTTTAATTTTAAAATTTAAACTGTCTTGAATTGAAGTATACACAATATTACACTATTAAGATTCACTTTATATAAGTGAAACAACTCACTTTTTTTCTTTCGATGTAGGATTATAAAATAAAAGTTAATAATTATTTGGACGAAAAATTTATTTTTAATCTAGCAATATCAGTCTTTCAATGTTTAATCAAATCAATCTTTAATTTATTTCAAATCAAAAAATCTAATCAATATATTTTAATAGCATTGCTAAAATCACGGTTAAACGAACAAATTAATAATAATAATAAAAAATTGATTTAGCCTAATCGGCTAGGTCATAATTAATTGAAACATGTACAACACTATTAAATGGGATGAGATTGTAAGATTCACTTTATATGAGTAAAATAATTCATTTTTTTTCTTTTTTTTTTTCGATGTGAGATTATAAAATAAAAGTTAACTAATGGAGATTTTTTTAATTGTTTAGAATTAAAAAAATTAATATGAGATATTAAAACTATCATAAGATTCATCACTAAATGAAATGAGAGTATAAGATTCATTTTATATAAGTAAAATTACTCATTTTTTTTTCTTTTTTTTTGATGTGAGATTATCAAATAAAAGCGAGCAAATGGAGATTTTCTTAATCATATAAAATTAAGAAAATCAAAAAAATTAGTATGAGATATTAAAACTTTCATAAGACGTCTCACTAAAAATATATTATTTTTCCTTATATAATATATAAATTTGCACGTGTTTTATTCTATATTTAATTTTTGTATTTTTAACAGTTTTTGTTCTCATATACCTAATAGTGTGACCCACCAATTATTGCATTCGGATGACCGTTCAACGAACTTGGTGTCAACTATCGAAATCGAATCTCCAAATTAGTTTAATGGAAACACTTTGCCTTTGTTTGGGAACTTGGTTTGGGGCTAAAATAGCCACAAAAAACAAAATAGGCTATTTTAGTCACAAAAAATAAAACATCAAATCCAACCCATAATCATTACAATCCTCTCTCACAAAAAAAGTCAAAAAAGCCAAAAAGCCAAAAAGCCCTTCCCAAACCAGGCTAAAATAGCCCAGGCTAAAATAGCCAAAAAGCCAAAAAGCCAACCCACTTCCCAAACGGAGGCTTTGTCTCATTTCTCGTTCATGCTTATTTATATTATGAAATCAAATCAAATTAAATTAGTGTGCCAATCTAAAAGAAAAATTATAGTGTGCATGCAAGTAGTTTGGTTATATAATTTATTTTTCTCTATTGCTAGCAATAAACTTAATTAAATTTAATAAATTTATACAAATGTTTTTGACAATCACATTTCAAGTCAATTTATTCAAGTAAGGTGGATTACATGAATTATTTTTTTAAAAAAATTTATCCTGCTTTTTCAAATATAATAATTTTAGTTAAATTAAATAAATTCATATAAATTTTTGTTTTATGGCCACGATTGGACTCGGTTCCTCCAGCCCGTCTGAGGCATATAGCCCATGGGCATGGCTGATGAGCTTAAGAGATGGGTTCCGGCCCAAATCTCAATAAGCTGATTGAGTAGTGTTGGATAGGGCCACTTTCACGCTTATTGGGTTCTCGCTCGTTTCGATGTCATAGACGCCTATTTATATTTAGGGAAATGTTTGGGGCCTTCTTTGGGAATGACCCTCATACTTTTAAAGTAATTCTGACCCTCCATTTATGTGTGGGGCTCACTTATATATGTGTGAGGTTTATATCATGAGTGGTTCAGATTTATGAGGGTCTTATGGTGGTCTTGTGGGGGTAAAAATCTCAATCATTGCTCTTATATTTGTATTTATAGTTGTCTGATAAAGTGTGCCCAGTCAATAACCTAACCTAACCTAAATGGTTAACAAATAACCTGAGTAAAGAAATAGGTAAATATAAAAATAAAACAATATTTTAGAAATATTCTTTTGACAATGTGAACCTTAGGCACAACCATTATTAATAGGGACAGACCACGATTCTAACTTAGTGGGGACGAATATATAAATTAACAAAAATTTTAAAAACAAAGTATGTATTACAACATCAATATAGGCATAAAAAATTAAAAATAACATCAAAATATATAGACATGTTTTCTAATGTCCATGTTAAGTTACAAAATACATTGTCTTCCCCTTATGTTAAATGCATGTACGTAAACAAGGGACAAAAATACTTTATAATTAATACTTTACATTTTTCTTGAATGAAAAGAAATCATTATTTGTGATTCAAAAATTTCTGAAGGTAATGAAGTGAAACATCATTAATTACTCCTAACAATGTGTTTAGTTTTCATTATTATGATTTATTTTTTATTTTTTATTTTTTTAAAGCAAGCCAGACTTGCCTGTTGAGCTGTTGCCTTGCCTCGCATACAAGTAATGCTAGATAGGAATTAATCATGAAAATAATCATAAAAAATTCTACATCCTTAGATTACAAATACAATAAAACATCACACATTAATCAAAGGATAAAAAAATTTCATGAAACATTTCATGATATTTTTTTTCATAATCCTTAATATTATTCATACAATAATATTACAAAAAACAGGTTACCAAACTCCACATGCTAATCTCACACAAATACCAGAAAATAAAAAAATGAAAAATGCTCAACAAAACAATACAGTCTGTAGTCTGTACTGTAGTAAACGAAAGACAAGAAATATGACATAGAAATTGAGAAAAATAATGAAAAACAGCACACCATGACATGGTTATTCAGAAAAGACAGAGTAGATTAATAATGAATAGCAATAACATGGTACTCAACCACAGCATCACCCAAGTTAGTATTGATGGAATAAGTCTTGGCGGTGGCAATTCCTCTTGCCAGTCGGAAAACTCCTGAACCACCAACGATGGACATCTCACGGTACTCGTGAAATATTGAGTTGCGGCCAAGAAGAGCCAAAGTGCTACCATTGAACTCACCATCTGTGAAAAACAAATTTATGTTCATAAACACACTTCCTCCAGTGAAGATGCTCCGAATATCCCCTGAGCTCGGCCGAGCTGCTTGGATGTGAGTTTGGGGCCTTCTGTCAATGGGTTGTCGACCATGTTGATTAGGCCGAAGAATGTGGGTGATGATAAGCTGTTGTTGGCTTGAGCAACCGTTATGGAAGTTGGGTTGTTCCCACTTTGTATGTCATGGAAGTAGAAATGAAGCTTTGTTACCTTTTCCTTTGCATGGTTTAGGCTTTCGAACCACTTTTCAACATCTTTTGGCGATTCGGCAATGCCGTGAACCGCCGGCATGGCCATCACCATTGAACAAAGAATCAGAATCGCACATAGCAGCTTCCCCATCTCTCTCTCTCTCTCTCCCTTGTGTGACAATTGACTATGAAGACATGCAGCCTTACATATATACTTAGAAGTTGAGCACATGTGCAGAAATATAAGAAATTTTTAAATTTTAAATTGAGCTGTTTATTTTCATTTATTTATTTTATTTTATTGACAAGTGGTCTGTCCGTCATGTGGTTGGTAAGATTCCCACCAAATAAAAAGAAATTAAAAAGAAAAAGAAAGTTGTTGGTAAGATATATTAACGCTATGTAAATATTTCTTTAAAATAACTAAAAAAGTTCAAATTTTGGACCAATTTTGTGATGCCTTTACCATCGTTTTAATATACATATGGACATTTTTATCAAACTTTGTTATCTGCCATTGTGCCTACTTATAATAAATTCTAATAATTATTATTTAAAAAAAAAAGCCACCGTAGTTACTACCTCTACCTGGGCCAGTTAAAAAATTTAAATTTTTATAATTAAAAGAGGTGATAAAATTAAAGGGGTCGCATAATCTAACTAACAATTTATGAAATTAGTATAGTGCTAGTTATCTAATTTGATTTGTGGGTTGCATAATTTGTTTTTGTCTATGTTTGTTTCGCGATATATATCGAAAAATATAATTCTAATTATATGTTTGTTTTGTATTATTTAAATTTTATTTTTCATTCATAAAAATTCAAATTTTCTTTTAAATTTAATGTGATAAAATTATTTTCACTCCACGAATGATAGCCATCTCACCGTCGTACTTTTCAAAATGGGTGTGGCCTACAACAACCAGGCAATAACCAATGTACGCCTAAAATGTGACTGCGAGACAGGCCCAATTTCTCCAACGAGGCCGGTCCATGAAAGCCCTTGGCATAGCAAAAGAGTTGTGGGGAGAGTTTAGGCCCAACTTAATGAATCATCCAGCACCTCATAGTGGGCCTTTAGCCAACGTTTGCCATCATTCTGTTTGATGAGGCTCCTACTAACATTTGACAACTCCAAAATATACGTGTCTGGACGCCTAATAAATCATAATTTATTTTATCTTTTTATATGCTTTAATTACTTAATACAATACCTCGTCTATTCACATTCTTTATCAATTATAATACCATAGGATATTACGTATTTATATTTCAGAATTACTAAATAATTATCCGTAATATTATGTTATCGTTATCACCCTTCAATAATTTTTTATTATTTACTCTTTTATGTATAAATAATGGCCTTGTTTGGCAAATGTTTTTTTAGCTTTTTGGATTAAAATTTACAAAAAGATAAAATATGTTAAAATAGTCAATAAAATAAAATGTCACATCAAATTCATAATCATTTCACTTTTTCTATTACAAATATCACATCAAACTACAAAAAATTCAACCATATTCCTAAACACAAATATTTTAGTATACTAAAATAGTCAAAAACTCAAATAGTCTATTAAAGTAGTCAACTTTCCAAACAAGGAAAACGTTAGAAATTATGAAAAAAATATCATGAATTACTTAATGAAAATTCTCTACTCTTAAATTACACATACAATAAAACACCACACACTAATCAAATGATGTAAAATCTTTATGAAACACTTCATAATATATATATATATATATCTAACATTAATCTATATATATATATATATATATATGTCACACCTAGAAAATTTTACTACCCAAAATTTATCCTGTTTAATCTTCTTCAAAAGGCCTCACCCAAAAACTAAATAAATAAATTTTCTTTTCTTTTCTCTGTTTCCATTCATGTGGGTATGAGATAAATTGAAATTAATTGTAGTGTAGTAGATGTTAGTAGTATCTAAGTGATATGTATTGAGAATTGATTGGCAGTCATTAATTTTTTTAAACTATCAATTATAATAATTTTTCTTTTTATATAATAGTTGAATCAATGATATTAATAATGAATCAAATCACGAATTAATTATAAATTGATATGTTTGTTTTATTCTAACTAATCTACTTAGATATATGGCTATCACAGCACTGAAATTCAATATGTACCGCCAATATGATACATATTCAATTTTACATATGGATTAGCCAACATCTAAAACAATAGTTTGTAGGGCTAATTAAATCAAATCTCACAAATTTTGTTAATCAACCACCAATAAAAGCAGTAAAAAAATAATAATAATAATAAAAAGCTGAGTAAATTACATTGACACCCCTTGAGGTTTGGTCCAATTACTACCCATTCTCTGACGTTTTAAAAATTACATTCTCACCCCTGTAGTTAATAGTTTTATTTCACAAATCCTCCTACTTATATAAAAAGTAACAACTCCTAGTAAAAAAATAGAACAAATTACATTAAAAAAAAAAAAGAAAATGAAAGGGAGAAAAAAAGAGAAAGTAAAGTAAAGTTAAAAAAAAGAGATTGCATGAGTTCAATGTCTTTATTTTATATAAATAATTATAATAACAAGAGAGTTAGTGTAATTTTCTAAACATCAAGAGACGATATGTATTAAATATAAACTTCAAGAGATGTAAGTGTAATTTATCCTAAAAAACTGGTTAAAGTTTCTCTTTATTTTAGGGAAAAGTTTGTCTTGTTTTTGTGCAGTTAATGAAGTCCCGCATGTTTAATTCTTAGATGACAGGTTTATTATAGCGAGTGAGATTACGGGGTTATTTGAAATGATCTAAATAAGTTGATTTTTTAATTTTTTATGAAATATAAATTGAGCATGGGTTGGATTTGAAGTGATGTAGTAGAGAGATAATGTGACTTAAAAATAAGATGATGTGACTTAAATAGAATAGTAATTTTTTGACTTTTTAAATTTTTTAATTTATGCCAAATAAGACCTAAAGCGAGTGATTACGCACAAAACAATTGTGCTATATATTCAGAAAAATATCTAAAATTTTACTCAAAATTTAAACACATAGACAAAATTCATTATACTTATGACTCACAATACACTAATTTTAAATTTATATCCTACACTTTGCTTTTATAGTAAAATTATGAGTAATTTTTCATAATTTCTAAAATTATTGCACACCAATAAGGTTTATTTTGGGAATATCAAGTTTTAACTAAAAAGTGCGTACAAAAAAAAGTCAATTAGTCTTTCTATTTATTTATTTATTTATTTTTTATGTGTGTGTAAAAAAACGACTAAAAAATACCAATTCCCAATGTTTCTTATTATTTATCAAATTGATTAGAACTTAAAATTAAGAGTGAATTATAATAACGATTCTTATAGTTTGAGACTTGTGTCATTTTGATTTTTGACTTTTTAAGTGTGACATATTTAACCTTAAATTTTGAATATTATTTCAAATAAGGACAATTGAATATACTATTGAATTTTTCAATGGAAAAATCATCAATTTAATAAAATATAAACTAATTTGATAAAATTAAATGTCCAAAAAATGTTTTTGAATTTTTAAAGATTATTTCTACCCACTAAAGATAAAATTATGTAAAATTGATAATTCTTTTAGATATTTATTTATTTTTTATCAAATTAATTTTTATTATTTGTTTGAATAATAATCCTGTAATAGGTGGTTATATTTGTTTTCATTAAATTAGTTTTTATTTTTTCAAAAGTCAAATATGGCGATAACTTTGATATTATTATTAAACCAATCAATTAAATCAAAAAATTCAAAACTAAAAACATTTCATATATTGAATGTATCGACTATACATTAAAAACTTAACAACTACCCATTACATCATCATCATCCAAACATATAATAAAAATTAATTTAGTAAAATAAATAAATAAATATCTAAAAGATTTATCAATTTTATATAATTTTATCTTTGGTGGGTAGAAATAATTTTAAAAAATTTAAAAATATTTTTTTGATATTATTTTTTGTCAAATTAGTTTATGTTTTATCAAATTGACGATTTTACCCTTAAAATTAAGTAATAGTATCTTCATTTGACCTTATTTAAAATAAAATTCAAAATTCATGATCAAATATGTCACAATTAAAAAATCAAATATCAAAATGACATAAGTCTCAAAATAGGGCCTATTGCTATAATTGGTCCTAAAATTAATAATGTTGAATTGCAACGGTGTACTCGACCGTGGTATTACCGACGGCAATGTCGAAAAAAAGCGTGTTTAACAGGGCAACACCACGGGCCAGACAGAAAACACCAGTCCCTCCGATCACCGACAATTCGAGTTTAGTTTGCAATGTTGGGTTGGATGACACAAAAGTGAGAGTGCTTCCATTGTAGTAGGTTGGATCAGTGAAGATCAAGTTTATGATGAAGACGAGACTAAATTCCTCCTTCGAGGCGGAGGCGTACATTCCCTGGGCTCGACCGATCACCTAGGAAGTTTGTGAAGCATTCACCGTCAATGGGTCGTCCGCTATGAAGGTTTCGCCGAAGAAGTTGGGTGATGTGGCGGTGCCGTTGGCCTGAGCCGCCGCAGCGGTGGTGTTACCCCTCAAGTTTTGGAAGTAGAAGCGAAGTTTGGTCACCTTTTGCTCTAATTTGTTGGTGCTGAACTCATGGAACCGTTCCCCCCCTTCTCTGGGACTCTTTGCAATGCCACAAACCACTGGCATGGCAATTGCTATTGAGCAAAGCATTACAAATATGCCTAGCGTCACCATCTCTCTCTCTGTGGCAATGTAGGTGTTTTTGTGTTGTGTGTTTTTTTATAAGGGTCATGTTTCGGAACTCTAATTAGAGCTGCAAAAAGACAGCTCTAATGAGCTGTCAACCAATAAAAAAAAAAAAATAGTGAAGTAAAAGACAAAAAAGAGGAAAGAAAAAGACAAATTAGTGCTCTATTAGAGCTCTTCTTTTAGAGGTCTAAATCATTTTTGTTTTTATAATAAGAAGGGATACAAGCTTATATTCAGACTAGTTCTAAGTAGGAAAAACAATTGAGACATCTAAAATATATTCAGACTAGTTCTACGAATTTAGACAAAAGAAACCAATTTTACATCGTGGATTTATTTTTATTTTTAATGGATTTTTTTTTTCAACTTTTTAGATGCCTAGATCAAGATTTAGGCTTCGTTTGGGAATAA